TGCTGGGGAGCCGTCCACAGGCGTGGGGGCCCTGCTGTGTATGGGGGAGTCTGGGTGTCGCCCCACACCCCACAGCTGCCCCTTGTTAGTGGGCCGGCGGGGCAGGACCTGAACCCTGGCCGCCAGGCGGGCCCCGCCCAGGCTTCAGGGCGAGCTCGGGGGTAGCCCCGGTCTATCGTCTGCCTCCCTGGGGCCCAGGACCTCAGTCGGTCACCCGAGTCCCCGGCGAGCGCGGGAGGCTGCCTCCCGTATCTGAGCGCTGGGCGACCGGAGGAGGGCACCGCGGCCCGCCGGCCCGGCCGTACTCTGCGCTGCTGGTGCTGTCTGGGCCGGGCCCTTCCCTCCCCTCCCCGGGCCCGCCGGGCGCCGTGGTCAGGGCTCCTGCCTTCGTCGGGGCAGTGTCCACACTGGCGGTGGGCTCTGCTGGGCCTCTTGCAGGGAGGCTGCTGTCAGCGGCGCCCGGGCCTCGGCCAGTCGCTCCCGAGGGGCAGAGGGACAGGCTCCGGGGGCGCCCAGAGGCTCTGGTGCTGCCAGTGCCTGGGGGCCGGGTCCCCTCACCCCCTCCAGCTAGGCGGTCTCAGCTCCTGCCCTGAGCCCTGGGGGGACGGAGGGGTGTCTCGGCCCGGGGGCGGGTGGGCTCAGCAGCACCTGGGCTAAAGCCGGAAAGCAGACAGGCCCCCCTCTCCCCTGCCCAGGCCCTGCCCACTCAGGCCGGCGGCCTCTGAGTCAAGGTTGTTCTCTGGGGACACTGATGAAGGGGGTGAAGGGACCCGGACCCACATTCTTGGGACAAGGTGCCGGGCAGTGTCCGAGCAGGTGACGTGGCTCTGGTTTCCCGGGGAGTGGCCAGGTGGCCAGTGGGGCCCACTGCCCGGCTCTCGGGCATGCCCCGACCACAGGATGCCCTCTGGCTGCTCCAGGCCCTGGGACGCTGGCGCCGGGATGGGCAGGACCGGCCTCCCTGGGGACTGCAGGGACGCTGAGTTTAGGTCAGAGCAAAGGGGACGTTGTCGCGATGGCGTCCGGGGCAGGCTGGAAGTGGCCAGCGCCCGACGTGGGCTGGCGCCGGCCTGAGCCCTGGCGGTTCCTCTCCAGGTGGGGCGGGGGCCAGGGACCCCGTGGGGCGCCGTCCTCGCGGGGCCACCTCTGGGCCTGATCTTGCTCTGGCCGGGGGCCTCGGCTGGATTTTGAGGTGTAGAGAGTGCATCTGGGCCCCTGGGCGCGGTCGCCTCAGAGTGAAGGCCGTGAGGCAGCCCGTGTGCCCCACCCCCACCCCACCCCACCGTGCAGCGGCAGCAGCCAGCAGGACCCCGGGGTGGGGTGTCGGAGGCCGGAGAACGGACGCCCCGGACGGCACCCCCAGGGCTACGGGCCGGGGTACTGCTCGGGGTACTGCTGTGTCCGCACAGGCTCTCCCGCCCCGCTGGCCAACAGGGGCCAGCCTGCCGTCAAGCGGGGTGTCCTACCCACCGCGGGGGTGTGCCCGCATGCGGGGCGGCCTGGCAGAGTGGGGTCTCTCCAGCAGGCGGCCGGACGTCAGGGCGGGTTTGAGGTGCAGTGGCCCCTGGGCCACTGCAGGTCATGTCCATGCCCAGAGCCATGGTCACGCGTGTCTGTGGTCAGAGGACATTGGGCAGCGAGGCGGTGGACACTCCCCAGCTCGACACCTGCGCCCTGCAGTGGAAGGCAGGCACCCCTGTTCCAGAAGGGCGTCCTGTGGAGGGGAGGCCCTCTCTGGGTGTCACGGGCCTCCCGGTGCCCACGCCGGCCCTCCTGTCACCGAGGGTCCCAGGCGCCTCCCTTGCTCAGCCCTGAGGGCGGCCTGCAGGCGGCTGGGCCTGCAGGAGGGGCCGGAGCTGAGCGTCTGTGACCTGGGGCCTTGGTGGAGCTGGCCCTGCCCAGTTCCGGGGCCCCTGGGGCCGCTTACCTGGGAGGGAGCCGCGGGGGGAGGGGGCTTCTGGTGTCAGGACTCCCGGGGCTTTGGCCAAGAGCCCCAGACCTCGCTGGCTGGCGCCCGCCGGAGCCAGCGTCTCCAGGCAGCCCGGGAGAAGGCTTTGGGGAGAAGACACCTCTGACAAATGGCCCCATTACAGCCTGGGGGGCGGCCCAGCCCCAGGCCCTCCTTGGCTCCCGGCCGGCCCCGGCCCCGGGGCCAGATGGCAGGTTCAGCGGAGC